ATAGAGGGAACAACCCTGTAAATACATGTTTCATACTCTTTAAGAACATCATAAAGGATTGCTTTATTTTATTTATATTTTTTAATATATATTTATTTATTTTTACTTCTATTTTTTGGAGGCAGAGTTGCCCAAGCTGGAGTGCAGTGGCATGATCTCTGCTCATTGCAAGCGATTCTCCTGCCTCAGCCTCCTGAGTAGCTGGGACTACAGGGCGCTCTCCACCACGCCCAACTAATTTTTGTATTTTCAGCAGAGACTGGGTTTCAGTGTTGCCCAGGCTGGTCTTGAATTCCTGACCTCAAGTGATCCACCCGTCTTGGCCTCCCTAAGTGCTGGGATTACAGGTGTGAGACACCACGCCCAGCCGGATTGCTTTATTTTAAATATTTACAAATAACATCAGAAATAGGAGAGACACATATGTGTGTTCCTGCTGTCATGGTGTAATCTTACTGTCTTGTAGAAATCTGGCTTGGATGTTTAGACTGCCCAAATAGCCGTGCTAAACCTGCAAATCAACTGTAACTGATTTTCTCCGGAAACACCAACTCCAAACTTGGACTTCCTGTGGAGTTCTGAATGAGGGATGGAACTCAGATGAAAGATCTGGAGTGAGGGGTGGAGATTCAGAGCAAATTCCTTCTCGTTTGGATTTCTTCCTATTGCCTTTTTCCTTTCTTCTTTAATTTGGTTGCTTGTTTGGTTGTTTTTGTTGTTTTGTTTGTTTTTAGAGACAAAATCTTGCTCTGTCGCCCAGGCTGGAGTGCAGCAGTGTGATTACAACTCACTACAGCCTCCAACTCCTGGGCTCAAGTAATCCTCCCGCCTCGGCCTCTCAAGTAGCTGGAACTACAGGCTTACTGCCTCGCCTGGATAATTTCTTTATTTTTGTAAAGATAGGGGTCTCACTATTTGACAGTTGAGGCCAGACTGGTCTTGAACTCCTGGCCTCAAATGATCCTCCTGTCTCAGCCTCTCAAAGTGCTAGGATTACAGGTGTGAGCCACCGCCACCGTACCCAACCCTCTTTTTTTATTTGAAATTTAATTCATCCACTTGGTTCCTCTGGGAAGACTTTGGATTCCCCTCAGGAGACCAGAAGCAAACCAAAAGTCTCAGTCCTTGCCCCACCCCTAGCTACTCTGTTCCACCCCATGTCCCTATTACCAGTTTTATTAATTTCCTGTGTATTATTCTTGTGTTGTTTATGCAAATACATGCCAACATGAATGTGCCATCTTATCTCTCCTTTTCTTTTTTTCAGAAAAGATAGCATACTGTTCTAAAACTTGCTTTCCCCCCGATTATACTATGGAGAATTTTCTGAATTAGGATACAGGATGCCCCTCATTCTTTTTTCTAACAATTGCATGGTGTTACAAGGTTTATTTAACCGCTGGCCCATTGATGGACACTTGAGATGTTTCCAATATTCCTCCTTGCGATAATGTTACAAAGATGAATCTTGTTCATGCATAATTTTGTCCATGTGCAGCTGTGGCTGACTTCCCAGAGGTGGGATTTCTGGGTAACCGTAATACACTAGCCATTCTGATAGACGTTTAAGTACCAGATTGCCCTCCACAAGAATGGAACCATTTTGTCTTTTCATGAGTTATGTTTGTACACAGACACCTGTAGAGTGTTCTGAAACTTTTGGATTTTTCCAAGCTGATGAATAAAAGTTGGTATCTCAGTGTAGTTTAAACGTGCATTCACTTCATCAAATATCTTTTATAAATTCAAGAGCCCAGCATGGACAACATAATGAGACCCTGTCTTTACAAAAAAAAAATTTTAATTAGCTGGGCATAGTGGCGCATACTGTAGTTCTATCTACTCAGGAGGCTGAGGCAGGAAGATTGCTTGAGCCCAGGAGTTCAAAGTTACAGCGAGCTATGATGGAGCCACTGCACTCCAGCCTGGGCATGAAAACAAGACCCTGTCTCAAAAACTAAAATAAAATAAAATAAAATGACCAGGCGTGATGTCTCCCGCCTGTAATCCCAGCACTTTGGGAGGCTGAAGCATGCAGAGGCCAAGGTCCGGAGATTGAGACCAACCTGGCTAACACGGTGAAACCCTGTCTCTACTAAAAATACAAAAAATTAGCCAGGTGTGGTGTTACACGCCTGTAGTCCCACCTACTCGGGAGGCTGAGGCAGGAGAATCGCTTGAATCTGGGAGGCGGAGGCTGCAGTGAGCTGAGATCAAGCCACTGTACTCCAGCCTGGGTGAGAGCAAGACTCCATCTC